TTGTCTATTTCAATTTTCTTTCCATTTCTTTCTATTAATATTGCAAGAAAAATATCAATCTTTTGTTCCTGCTTATTTCAGTTTCATTATCACAATCCACCCTTTTATTTTCATTCATTGATGTTTCAAATGAGTAGGATGGCTATGAACTGAGTAAGATTCTCAATACACGTATCTCCTCCTAACAAAAACTTCACCATATGTTCACCCTTCAAATGTGAATACTGTTGCAATTAGCAAGAAACAAAGTAATATAAATGAATGCCAATTATAGGCATAATGAGTAAGCATTAATGTTCAACAAAGTGGACCAAAACAAAAGTTATCGATTTTATTCAGGTCACAAGTAATTATATTGATAGTTTGATGTTAGATGCATTATTATGTGATGTGTTTTGAATTAATCCTATTGACCTATATTTCACGTAAGCTTAAACAGTATAAAGTCAAAACCATCAAGCTATTGAGTGAGAATTTTCTCAGATGTTGTGTCAGCAATCATAATTTTCCAAGAACCAAGATCCATTGACAAACTAAACTCAATTCATTCATCACCTCCTCCTCCCATCGATTCCATTGAATCAAATCAATTTCATTTCCCATGAAAATTAAAATCAACTTGAAGATATTTTTTATTTTTCGTTCCTGCTAGTCACATAAAAATGAAATTACGACACTTAAGGAAGGCGAGAAAATTCATTGGACACTAAAATCCATTTAAACGACATTCATTTTATTGATTTTGTGCTTTCAAATTGAAATTGAGTACTTTGGAGAGAGCCTTTTTCGTAGCTGTAAGTACACTTGAACAATTTTTTTGATTCCTTTTTTTAATTTGCCATTTCCATTATCGACACAGATGAGAAAAAAAATCGACACTGTTGCTCCAAAAAAAAAATCATTTTATTTTCAAGCACTTCCTTTTTTCATTGATTGTGTACCCAAACGTCTGCTGCTTGGCTCTTTCTATTGGGCTATCAAAGTGTCAATTACAATTATTGAAGTTAAATTCTCTTTTTATGAGCAATTCTCAATGTCACTCAGTTCATAAGCGACATCTCAATTTTTTTTTTCTTGTTTTATGGAAGTTTGTTCTGAAAGTTGTGTCAATGAGTTTTGTTAGGATTTGTGTTAAAACATGATGGTTCATGATCGCTTTCTATTCTTAGCAAACCAGGATTAAGCATAGTCTTTGTCTGTTTTTCAAATACCAAGAATAATATTTATAAGCCTTTGGGCGAATAGAAATATTAAGAAGCTGTGAAGTTCATATTCCATCTCTTAGGAGAACATGATGTGTGTTTTTACGTGCATATTTGTGTATGAGTGGGTCTTAAGACACATAAACGAGGTTTATAGTCAAGACCAAGAGTTTTTGAATAAAATAAACCATTCGATGCAAGCGTGACCTGAGAATATTTTTCGAATTGAGGTTTGAAAATGTTTAGGCTTAGTCCTACATGAATGTTCAAACTATGATCTACAACTCCAGTCGCCCAAAACCTTCTAGTAGATCGTAAAATCTTAAACGACACCAAATTCACACAAGATTCTAAAATCTCAAAAAAAAATATTCCTAATTAAGCTTTACGACACGTTGATTAAAACCTATTCAATCAAAACCTTCAATTTTCTCAATCCTTGAATTTTGTTTTTGTTTCTCAAAGTTTATTTTTCTTTCATGTAGCAATTTCTTCATTTTGGAAATAAAAAGTCGAGATGGAAGACTCATTACAGCTTTAGGAACAAAAATTAAAATTTCATTATGCATGCAAGCAAGCAAGCGTAAAAAATGTTCATTTCAGCTTAATCAGCAAGATAAAAACAAGAAAGAATTTCTTTCATTATTCTTTTCATATTATTCCCCTCCGAAAATTCGCGTATTAATTTTTTTTACCTATATCTATACTGTCTTCATGTAGGAGAAGAGGATGGAAGACGATGTGAGGATATAAAAAAAATTAATTGCTTAATAATCCCGAATTGATGATGTAAGCTTAATCAAGAATGAAATGGTGGAGTAGTAGTAGAGAAAATGTTAAATGTATGGCATTTTCGGAAGGACTGTAGGATTTTGAATATGCATGAATTTAATTTTTAACTGACTTCAAATTTAAAATCTTCAAAATGGCGAACTTTCAAATTTTTATCACTTCAAAAAGTTTTTTTGTAATTTCTTAGAAACAAAAGTACTTTAACCTTTAAAACTCAGCATTTATGGTTAAAAAACTTTGCAAAAATGCAGCAACAGCAATCTAAGCTTAAAGAACAGCAAAATTACAGATTTTAAAAAACCACGTGGAGCATTCTGTAAAATTTATTTTATAAATGTCAAACTAGACTCAAAATTCACCGCAACACTAAAACAATCAACCGAAAAGCTTTCTGTAAATACCAAACTTCTCATTTACCAATTTTCAACTTAAAATGTTTTTGCCCATTCATCTTATTCACTTCAAGCCATTCTATATGCTATGAATATGTATGTTTTTGAATAAAAAATGTGGAACGAACAATTAAAATCGCTTTAAGGAAAGAGACAAGTCACATAGAACAAGATGTAATGATTTTGCATTTAAAGCTCAAAAGCAATTCATGCTGTGAGAAAGATATGTAAGTGATGGAGTATCTCGTCGCATAATGGCAACAAAGAGTTGAATGAAGGAAAAGAATGACAATTAAGAATCTTCATCGTCTATTCTTTCATCAGTAATTTGTCATTTTACTGCTAAAAAGTGTGTGAAAAGTGAGCTGGTTAAGTGGAAAGAATTGAATAAAAAAGAAGTGAGGAAGGAATTTTAATTTTCTTTCTTCTTGTGCAAGATGATATACGAGATTCTGCCTTGTGTATTTTCAAGAGTTTCGCAATAAAAAAAAGCTTTCGTGAAGAAATTTGTTGAAGTATTTTCAGCATACAAAAGAAGAAGGAAAGAACATCGCGTGTGAGTGATGAGATGGCATTTTACAGTTAGATCAAGCAGAGAAAGTGGATATAAGCTTATGATTGTTGTGTTTTGAGAGAAGTGACAAATTTGGAAACTTTTCAGTTTAGGTTCTACCCTGCAATCGCGTAGTTTCTCTTTTTTCATATCAAAAAGTTTTTGTGAATTTTTACAGCAAATAGAAGGTTTGAAGTGGTCTTTCCTTCATAGATAGTTGCTATTTTATGGCAAAACCCTTGTTAACCTTCGATATTAGTCTAATTATTAGCACTTTTGACAAAACTTAAATCAAAACTTACGGAAAATTGACAATCAATTAATTTATTTCCTTGAAATTTCAAATTTCAAAAAAACCGTTTTAAATTTTGCTAATTTTTCCTGATTCCTAAAACTCTTTCTAAAGTACAGCTTCAAGAAATAAAAAATTTCTAGTAATTGAACACAAAAATTAAATATTCATGCCGAGTTCAAGCAGAATTCTACCCAAAAATTCTCTTCCTTGAGCACAAATGAAATTAAATCCATTGTTAAATGAGTCAAGGAAGTAAAATAAACAATTTAAAATAACTTTGTTTATTTACAAATGGAATGGAAACATTTTGAAGCTGTATGTTTCCTCACTCAATCTGTAAATAAGGCAATATTATTCATCACATGAAAATATTTTCTTTAAACTCTCAACAGCTCTCTATTCACAATGGAAATCATCATCAAAGAGATGTTAAAGCTGCTCGTTTTACCAATTTTTAATAAAATAAACAAATGAGTTATTTGATGTAATTTTAATTATTTTTATTAAGGGGCCGTTCAATTATGATGTGCGAAATTAACGGTCATTTTTCAAAAACGAACAATGGATTTCCAGGAATTTCAATTGTTCTTTTCTGTCTGACCCCCCCCCCCCCCCCCCCCTGGACGTTATAAGTGAACGGCCCCTAATTACGATGAGAAATTTTTTCATGAATTTTCAACAATAATTGTGATATGATATGATTATGGAATGAATAATTCGATAACGATGAAATAAATTATGACTTTTGATCCATAAACAATTCATAAGAATTAATGAGAGAGAAGTCACGAATTTAAAATGATTGGGTTTTTTTAACAATATTTGAATTCAGAAGCTTAGGTTGAGCTTTTCGTTATGAGACTAAGATTTTGTCTAGAATTGGAGGATAAGTAACTCTTTCCCTCGATATTAATAGGCAAATAGCCAAAAACTCAAACTTAAAAACTCGTCATAAAATTAACATTCCAAACTTAACTTCATCATTGCAGCCCTAAACATTATTAATTATTACCCAACCAGAAAGTAAATAATAGAGACTTCCATACATCCAAGTCAATCGAGCAAGCATGCACATAGAGCAAAAGTTGATTAAACCTATTCAAGAAAAATTGAAATAAACTTTATTTCATGTCCACGTTCATCAAGAAAGAAAACATAAAGACGACAAATGAGAAAAAAGTTCCGCACACAATTGCTACATAAACCATGGATAGAGCAGCAAAAATCTATCTATCCCGGAAGGAAGAACAGAATGTTAGGAAAATGCAAAATTTGTAAAATCAGCAAGTGTGTTGAAATCTGTTCCGATCTGATTTCATTTTTTTCTTCTTTATTCCTTACCATATTTTCTTGATAATTCAGTTCCCTCTCTATATTTGCTATCTTGAATTTAATTTTCATTCAAATTTTCTGCTTCCAATGCACTTCCGTTTGAAAGAAATAAAAAAAAATATAAGAAAATTCTACAATGGCTTTTGGCTTTTGCTTATACACTTGCTCAATCGTCGCTTCCTGTCACAAGTTTTGTATCTATCTATCTATTGGTATGAAGAGGATTATTTAAAATTTCTGTGTCATTTTTGAGCAGCAAGTCATCATAATTTCCACTAAGTGGTTCAATTTTTAAGCGGGTTTTTAAGATTTGAATTATTGGAACCTCTAAATGTTTGGTTTAGCATGGAAACATTTGAGGAGTTTTGAGTTCATAATTTTTTAAGCATGACTACTTCTATTTTGAGATAGGTTTGCTCTTAAAATTATTAATTTTGTTGATGACTTTTCACTGATTCGTGATTGAGTTTTAATTAAATTTAATGATTTATTAATTGAAAGTTGACGACTGTTTAATAGCCAACTTAACTTCCAGGTTCCTTATAACATAAATAATCTTAACTTTGTATAAATTAAATCAAAATGATGAAAAATGACTGCCTAATTATTCTTTAATTTTAGTCAGCGCAGCCATTAAAAATTCCATTTTGTTCAGGAAGTTCCTTCCTTCCATCTTATCGAAATTAACCTGTAGAATTATAAATTAACATAAAATTTGGATCAGAATCATTAAATAAATAAATCTTACGTCCTTAAATTCACTTCCAAGATTCTCCCAAAGCTTTCCCTGCACCAATGGTCCGCTCGTATAAAACTCTCGTGGACTATGCGAGACATAAACTTTAACGACAATTTGTGGATCGCATCTAACTTGTACAGCAATAACTCTGTCGCCCAAAGGCGATGCAATTAAAATAGCATTCGCATTTCCCAAAGGTTCAACATCACCGATTCCTAAATGATTTGAATTTGAAAGCAATTGCCATGCCATGCAACGACTTAAATTTTGTAATCCAGTAATTTGATGTTGGCAGATTTGCTGAAGAATTAAATCACGAAGTTCTTGTGGCTCATATGACATGTGCATAACACGTCCATCTCTACAAATTGCCATTAATGATCGTTCCTTTACATGCACAACAAGTGCTGTTCTTGTTATTGTGTCATATCCATGTGTAGTAATGTTAATTTTAACCCACGAAAGTGTTGGTGAATTTAAAGCATTCCAATGTGACGTAATTTGAGGATCTTTCACATCTCTCGCTATACTATCAAGCACATATTGAGTCCTTTTTCTCATGAAAATGTGCTGTGCTTGACCAATTATTTGTTCCAATAATGTCTGATTCTGGCATCTTGTCATTTCCCACAACTCATGTCGATCATACGAATGTGGACCAGCTAGTAGTCTCTTCTTAGCTATTCCAACAGCATGTCCAGAATGTGGAATCGGATAGTGAGTATTTTTATAGTGAATTTCACGCAATAACTGATGCAATGAATGTTCAAGCACATGATCATGTAAATCGTCAGCCTTCTTTTTTGTTTCCTCTTGAAATTCTTGATAATTTGTCGAATGACATAAGCTGATGATGAGCTGAATGCCTGGCAAGAGTGTTGCTCTTATTTGATTCCCAATTACAACATGAGGAATTGTAGCTTGAAGTTGAACAGCTTCTCTTGCCAGCTGATTGAATAACTACGAAGTTAAAATTTGATTAATTATTTTATATTTTAAATTTAACAACGGTTTTAATAAATTTGAATGTTAAGTATATTTTTGGAATTTGAAATATCGGTCCAAAATAACGAGCATTTCAAATTTAAGCTTTGAACCGATCATTTGAATTTTACGAAACCGTTAAATTTTTGAATTATAAAAATCCGGTAAGAAATTCAATTTCTTACCTCCTTACAAAACAGAACATTCTGTGCAAACTCTAGTTTCTTCTGCCACGACGATATTTCTCCAACTTGAAGCTTTCCTTTATGATCAATCATTGTCACATTCGCAGAGCATAAATCTTCTTGATCCTTTTGAGTCACAACTTTAATATAAGCAACACCTTGTAATTCTGATGGAATTGTGACTTGTAAAGTCGATGGATTTGGTCCTTTAATATCAACTTCATCCGATTTCGATACTTCAAAGTTTCCAGGATGCATAAATTTGGATCCGGCAGTACGAAAACTTAAATCACCAATTATATTGTCGCTGACTTTCTTTAGTCTCCAATTCTGACGAAGTCTAAGTAGCTCAATTTGGAAGTCTGGACCATTATCAAGTCTTTTAAGACGTTCAGCACCAGATATAAGAATATTTCCAGCCATACCTAATGCCTTCTTTCGAGCATAAACAACTGCCATGGGTTTAATTTCTGTTTGTTCATGCATTGGAACTGGATCGAGCACCAAGTAATGTTTTTCTTTTGAAACAGCTAGAACATCATGTAAAACTGTTACTTCTGTGTATGCTTCCTTTAATTTATTTAAGATATTCTCAAATGGCGAGGAACTAGCTTGAAAAGCCGCAGCTGCTACTGCTTGCTCTTCTTCTTTACTTTCCTCAGTCGTTTCACTTGATTTCATGAAATTTATCCGTGCTGCATTTCGTGTCAGGTATTCTGATTGTGTCAATGGGCTAGAATTGGCAATTAATTTAAGAAATTAAGTTTTAAAATTTAATTTTTGCTTACTTTGCGTAAACTTCCGTTCCATCGTAGTCTATGGACATTATTTGATTTTCTATCGGTGCTTCTACCGACACAGATATTGATTGTGCCATTTTTACTATAATTATGATGTTCTTAACTAATCAAAATTGAGGATTAATTTTTTACAAATTTAGTGCCGACGATGTAAACAAAACTTGAGTCTCGCTTAAACGAACCGATTTCATTTTTGAATATTTTTTGACTGTTATTTTTGATTCAAATCATATTACGAATTTTATGATCTTCAAACATGAGGGTCAGCAAACACGATCAAATAGAGTATAATAAGTAATCTAAACTATATTATTGAACAACAAACTTGATTTTAGAAGAAGGAAATGCAAATTAATATTATTAAAGAATCGGTTGAATTTAACGGTTTTTTGTAATTCAAATTTTATGTTTTGAATACAGTATCAATGATGTGGACGTTTTTAAGTAGATTATTTTTAAGGTAAAATTGTATTTCTCGGTTGAAACTAACTTTGTGACTTAATTATCCTATTTTAAGCGTAATAATGAGTGTATTTAATAAGGTTATAAACAAATTAAACGGTAAGAACTCTAGATAATCAAATTATGTCGAAAAGAAACAAAAATTTATTGATTTCTTAGATTTTAAGGAAACACGTTTTTGTAATTTGCTTAATAAAAGCAATATTCGTCTTTAAAATTAGTGCTTATGACTTGATTTTGTGTTTATTATCTTTTTTAAGCTTAATTGTATTCAAACTTCTTATTTTAATTCCATTAATACAAATTTTATGATCCAGACACTTTTCAACGCAGTCTTTCCATAAACGACAGTTCTGAAGAAGAAATGTACAACAGCATAGAAGTGCCAAAACCAAATTCGATGGCAAAACGAGCTGATATAATGGAAAACTTGGTTGGGGCCATAAATAAGATCCAGGATGTCTTTAATACTCTCAAAGTTCCAAATACAATTGAATTGCCGCAGATTGTTATGCTTGGATCTCAGGTAACTGATTAACTGTCTTAATTTACTTTACTGGAGGTTTCTAATAATTATTAATCAACAGAGCACTGGCAAAAGCTCAGTTTTGGAATCGATTGTTCATCGTCCATTCTTGCCTCGCGGATCTGGCATTGTAACTCGCTGTCCATTAGTCCTACAGCTTGTAGAATGTAAAATGAATAACACAAAATATCGCAAAGATGAAAATGGAACCACTAAGATTGAAGAATGGGGAGAATTCTCGCATTTGGAAGGTCAAATATTCTCAGATTTTGACATAATTCGTCATGAAATTGAATTTCGTACAGATCAACTTGCTGGGGATAACAAAGGAATCTGTGATGATCCAATTAACTTGAAGATCTTTTCTCCTCATGTTGTAACTTTGACTCTTGTTGACTTGCCTGGAATCACTAAAGTAAGTTCAATACATCGTGTACATTGACTCTTACAGGGCATTTCTGAAATTTTAATGATCATTAATCTCATTACAGATTGCTGTTGGCAATCAGCCTCAAAACATAGAGCATCAAATAAAACTTCTCATTATGAAATACATTTCGAATCCAAACTCAATCATTCTAAGTGTTAGTGCTGCAAATGCTGATATAGCAACAAGCGAAAGCCTTAAATATGCAAAATTAGTCGATCCAAATGGTGATCGTACCTTAGCAATTCTTACAAAGGTTGATTTAATGGATAAAGGAACTGATGCAATTGACATGCTTACTGGTCAAGTTATTCCTGTAAAATTAGGAATTATCGGAATTGTCAATCGTTCACAGCAAGACATTAATGATAATAAGACAATTGAAGAGCAGTTGATGGACGAAAAGGCTTATTTTGTGGAAAATTACACAAATATTGCTAATCGCAATGGAATTCCATTCTTGTCAAAACGATTGAGTGAATTGCTTAAGCATCACATCTACAAATGTCTTCCAGAATTAAAGGTTAAAATTGATTGTAAGTTGGACGAAAATATTAAAATTTATGATGTTTGTGGCGAGGAAGTTAAGAATTATGGAAAGATTATATCCATAATAATCACAGGATTGACCCAAAAGTTTGCAGACATAATTGACGGCAAAAAAATGATGAAAATAAAGGATGTCAAGTCATTAATTGGTGGACCAGAATTTTGTAGAATTTTTGATGAATCATTTGTCTGTGCATTGACAGCAATTGAACCGGAATTGAGCAGAATTAAAATAAAAGAGTACATGAAACTCAATCGAGGCTCACGTCCTCCAATTTTCCCACCTGAAAATCTCTTTAAGGATCTCGTTAATCTGCAAATTGAACGCCTTCGAAATCCATCCTTAAAATGTGTCGAAAATGCTTTTGATGAAATGGGAAAGGTTGTTGCTAAAACGATTAAGGAACAGCATGAATTAAGTCGTTTTCCACGTTTGGAAGTTAAAATTCGGTCAATTATGAAGAATATGCTTAATGAGCAGATGCCGATAACTAAAAATGCTGTTAAGGAACTGATTAACACTGAATTGTCGTCAATTAATACAAATCATCCAGACTTTTCCATTCAGGAAGCTTTGGCACCTAAGGTTGAGGAAGATGACAATCCTAATCATCAACAATATAAGTTTTCACAAGAAATCTTTAAAATTGAAAAGACTGACAAAGATGCTGAAATAATTCAAAATCTAGTCAACAACTACTTCCCCATTGTCAAGAAAACAGTTCAAGATCAAGTTCCGAAAATTGTCATGTATAAGATTATTAATTACATGAAAGACAACGTTCAGACAGAGTTGATGACTCAATTAAGTCAAGAAAATTATGCTGAATTGTTGATGGAATCTGAAGGAAATGCACAGCGTCGTGAAAATGCAAATACAATGATTCAGGCACTAGAAATTGCGAAGGAAACTATTGGAGAAATCGAAATGGGATATTAACTGTATAAATGACAATTTTCTATTATTAATTCTTAGTCTGATGACTCTTAAATATTATTAAAGACATGTCACCATCTTATAAGCTAACGAATGCTAATTATAAGAAATTTGAATGACATAAGATATGATTTACTTTGAAAGAAACTTGATATGTAACATTTTTAAACATAAACAATAAAGCATGCTGTAAGAAACATGACCTGATTTAAACTTTAATATCTTAGGGACTGTTCACTTATTACGTAACGCGAAAAAATGACTTTTTAGACCCCCCCCCCCTCGTAACAAAATTTGTATGAAAAAAAATTTCCTTGTTTGAACCGTAACAAAATCGTAGACCCCCCTCCCCCCCTAAAAGCGTTACGTAATAAGTGAATGGCCCCTTATCTGATTCTTCGCTCAAAAATAACGGTTTATATTAATTTGAATTTTAGAACCTTACAAATGGTTTGTGCATTGGAAATTTATTTTAATGGTATTAAGGTTTCAAATTTCAGATCCCTACAAATGTTTTTGTGAACCATACAATTGTTTTTAAAAACAATACAAATGCTTCTTCTTCTTCTTAATTATCTTTATTAAGGTCCTTTTTAATAAATTTTAAGACCATTTTCAATTCTAAATATGTTTTACATGTTTTTTAATTTTATAAATACGAACTGCAGTAGCAATACAAATGCAAATTGAAATTATAACTTATTCTAATTCTCTTTTAAAATTTAGATTTTTTGAGTCTTTTCATAATAAATTAAAAAAAAGCGTGTAAAATAGAGAATTACGAACAAATTACGAATGACACGTATTGCAAAAAAAAATTAATAATCCTATAGTAATAAATTTTGACAAACACAATTTTGCAAGTTGATAAAGTTGTTGAATATTGCTTTTTATACCCTACGGATATTAAAGAATGTAAGCGTTAATCTGGCACGACAAATTTTTATTCTATGCTGTGTTAATCATTTACTGCGTTTCGAGATATTCAGACCTAATATCGTTTGATTCTGTTTAATTAGTTGAGAAGAGAAGAAATTAAAGCTTGAATATTAAAATTTAATTATAAATAAACAGTGAATTCACTTCTAAAATCAAGAATTAAAAAGTTTTGTTGAATCGGTTCAAAATAACGGTTTTTTAAATTTAAAATTTATTTTAAATTTCTGTGAAATTTCAAACTTAATTTGAACGTTAATCAATTTTTTCAAAACTATTAAAAACTTGTTTGCCATGTCATACAGCGACGTTATTAAAGGAATTAACAGTAAGTGTAAATCAACGTCCAATTAAAATTTAAATGATAGGATTTGATTGTGAAAAGCACGCAAATTTTGTTTTGTGATTTTTATTGGCATTTTATTCAGTAGATTAAGCCTAACTTAACCATAAGTAACGCATGAATTAAGAATACTATCATAATAAATTGAAAATCTAAGAAAAAAATTGCCATTTTTATGATCTAGATTTGTTCAACGACAGTTCAGAGAAGAAACAGACTCTCCTAAAATAAGAATGGATAAGTCTAGCAGACCAGAAATCATGGAAAACTTAATTGGCGCTATTAATAAGATCCAGGATGTCTTTAATGCTCTCAAAGTTCCTAATTCCATTGAATTGCCGCAGATTGTAATGCTTGGATCTCAGGTAACTGACAAGATTGCATAATAGGTTATAACTCAACTTACTGGATGTTATCTACAGAGTACAGGCAAAAGTTCAGTGCTGGAATCAATTGTTCATCGTCCATTCTTGCCTCGCGGATCTGGTATTGTAACTCGCTGTCCATTAGTCTTACAGCTTGTTGAATGTAAGATGGATAATAGAAAATATCGTAAAGAAGAAAATGGAACCACCGAAATTCAAGAATGGGGCGAGTTCCTGCATTTAAAGGATGAAATATTCTCTGACTTTGATTTGATCCGCAAAGAAATTGAGGACCAAACAGACAGACTGGCTGGAAACAACAAAGGAATCTGTCATGAACCAATTAATTTGAAAATTTATTCACCAAATGTTGTAACTTTAACACTTGTTGACTTACCTGGCATAACTAAGGTAAGCTTTTATATCCACATAAATAAATTAAAAATGTTTAAGAAAAAATAAATACACCTACAGGTTGCAGTTGGCGATCAGCCAGAAGACATTGAAGACCAAATCAAAAAGCTTGTCATGCTTTACATTGAAAATCCTTTATCAATCATCTTGAGTGTTAGCACAGCTAATACAGACATCGCCAACAGTGAAAGCTTAAAGTATGCAAAACGTGTTGATCCCGAAGGTGACAGAACATTGGCGATTCTTACAAAGATTGATTTAATGGATAAAGGAACTGACGCAATGGAAATGCTTAGTGGTCAAGTCATTCCAGTTAAATTAGGCATAATTGGAATCATTAATCGTTCACAGCATGACATAAATGAGAATAAGACAATTGATGAGCAGTTGATGGACGAAAAAGCATTTTTTGAGAAGAACTACAAGGAAATAGCTCATCGCAATGGAATTCCGTTCTTGTCCAAGCGATTAAGTGAATTGCTTATGAATCACATTAGTGACAGCCTGCCAAACTTAAAACTGGAAGTTGCCAATAAATTGAGTGACTATCAAAAACTTCATGATGCTTGCGGAGAAGAAGTAAAGGATCGAGACAAGATTATTGTTGGAATTGTCACGAAAATGACGAAATTCTTCTCTGAAATTATCGATGGTAAGTGTACAAAGAAGATTACGGATGTAAAGGCTTTATGTGGCGGTCCAAAGTTCCGTAGAATTTTTGACGAATTGTTTACTGTTGCTTTAATAAAAATTGAACCGGAACTAAGCATAGCTGATATTGTCTCGTACATCTCGAATAATGGAGGTCCAAGACCAGCTGTTTTTGCGCCTGAAAATCTCTTCAATAATCTCGTCAAAGAGCAAATTGAACGCTTACGAGAACCGGCATTAAAATGTGTTGAAAACAGCTATGATGAAATGGGAAAAGTGATCCTTAAATTAGTTAAGGAACAGCATGTTCTGGCTCGTTTTAATGTCCTTGAGAAGAAAATTTATACAGTTTTGAAAAATTTCCTAAACGATCGACTTCCAGCTGCTAAGGAAGCAACAAATAAATTAATTAACACTGAATTGTCATCAATTAATACAAATCATCCAGACTTTTCGATTGAAGCTGCTTTAAAGGAAGATACTTACAAAAGTGTTAAGATTGAAAAGGATGCAGAAATAATTGAGCATTTAGTCAAGCATTACTTTCCAATCGTCAAGAAAACTGTTCAAGATCAAATTCCAAAAATTATTATGCATGAAATGATCAAGTATATGAAGGATAACATTGAATCGGAATTGCTTGGCAAGTTGTATAAAGAAAATCAACTGGAAATGCTTCAAGAATCTGAGGAAAATGCTTATCGACGTGAAAATGCTAAAGCTATGATTAAGGCACTGAAAGTTGCTAAAGAAACCATTGAGGAAATTGAATTAGGATATTGAGCATGTTTGAAAGTATAAACGATTTTTATTTGCCTTAATTCCATTAATTCTGATAACTTTAAAGTCCTCAAAATTGATTTTTGTAACTATTATTAAGAAAATGAGCTAACGATAAAAAGCTAATTATAAAATTTATGTAACTTTGAAACTTGATATGTTAACATTTTTAAAACACAAGCAATAAAGCAAACTGTAAAACAAAAGACTTGGAATTTAAACTTAATTTTACGAAAAACAGTAGCTAGAAATTCAAATTTCAGAACACTTCAAATGTTTTTTCACCAGAATTTTCAACTGTTTTTTAAAACCATACAAACATCAACTTTGGAATCGGTTAATTTTAACGGTTTTGTATAATTCAAATTTCAGAACCCTACAATTGTTCCATTTTCAAAAACCTCTCAAATGTTTTTTATATAGCCATAATTACTTGTGACTTTCAGCGATAAAAATAAGCTTACTTTTATAGAGATCGATTTTTAATTGGCTAAAGACTTAGTAACATGTAGATGCTTATATCGAGAAAAGAGGGTCTGAAGACGTCGTTTGACAATGTATGTCCAAAAATGTGATTTATTTAGAAAGAAACTCAATATGTAAACACTTAAAACATAAACGGTAAGGCACAACTCAATATGAAAAATTCAATAGAAATTACTAATAAATGTTAAAATAAATTTAAGAATTTATTTTCAAATTTGATTTTTCAGAACCTTTTCAGAAAAAATAACGACTTTTCTTAATTAAAATTTTAACCGTTATTTATGAAAACGCACATGTTATACTTCATAATATCACTAGCAAAAATAACTTAAGGATAATGCATAGATAAGATAATGACTAAGATCAACATTACTGGATATTCTACGAAAATAAATCTATTTAATCATATTTGACAATGAATCATGATGGCATCTTATCTTCTGCTAATATTCGTTATCCTTGCTAATATAAATACATAGCATCGCACATTTAAAATTCTATGCTCATTCAGTCATCAGCAGTGCTTTGAGACATTCAGACCAATATTTTCATCGTCTAGTCTATTTTAAATTTGATCAGCTCCATTTTTCAAGGTAACGGGCTTAAACATGCAGAGTAATAAGTTTGCAGTCAATAATATTAATCAAGAGATGCCTAAAGCAACAAACAAATCTAAAATGATGGATAACATGATTGGTTCGATTAACAAGATACAAAACATCCTTAACAATGCAGGAATTGCCAATTCAATTGAATTGCCACAGATTGTCATGCTTGGAACTCAGGTTAGCTGTTATTAATTTCACTGGATATTTCTATAACTTATTACCACGTTTTTTTTACTCCACAGAGTGCTGGCAAAAGCTCAGTTTTAGAATCAATTGTTCATCGTCCATTCTTACCTCGCGGATCTGGTGTTGTTACACGGTGCCCATTAGTTCTTCAACTTGTTGAATGCAAGATGACTAACAAGCAGTATCGTAAGCAGTCAAATGGAACCACTGAGATTGAAGAATGGGGAGAATTCTCGCATTTAGAAGGTCAAATATTCTCTAATTTTGACTTGATTCGTAAAGAAATTGAAGATCAAACTGACAAACTTGCTGGAAATAACAAAGGAATTTGCAAGCAACCGATCAGTTTGAAGATTTATTCACCACATGTTGTAAATTTGACTCTCGTTGATTTGCCAGGTATCACTAAGGTAAGCTTAATATACACAAAATAAGCATAAAGGTGTCATTAAGAATGAATTTACAGGTACCAGTTGGTGACCAGCCACAAAATATTGAATACCAGATTACAGAGCTAGTCATGGAATACATTAAGAATGAAAAGTCAATCATTTTAAGTGTGAGTGCTGCAAATAATGACATAGCGACAAGTGAGAGCCTTAAATACTCAAAACAAGTTGATAAAAATGGCGATCGTACATTGGCAATTCTCACGAAGGTAGATGCTATGGTTGAAGGAACTGACGCACGAGAAATGTTGAGTGGCAAACTTATTCCTGTTAAATTGGGAATTATTGGAGTCATAAATCGATCACAAAAGGATATTGAACAAAATAAGACAATTGATGAGCAAATAAACGACGAGAAGGCATTTTTTGAGCAGCATTACAAGGATATGGCTAAAAAGCAAGGAATTCCATTCCTGGCAAATCGATTGAGTGAATTATTAATTAGTCACATCCATAAGTTCCTTCCTGAAGTAAAGAAAGAAATTGCCACTAAATTGCGACTTTCTAAGGAAGCACTGGATGAATGCGGCGAAGAAATTGAAGATCGTGATGATGTCATATCCTTAATTATTACTGAAACAGCTGTTGCATTTTCCACTATACTTGAAGGAAAAGAATGGAGTAAAATTAAGGATGTCGAGCCTTTAGTTGGTGGACCAAAACTCCGTAGAATCTTTGATGACACATTTGGCACAGCTTTGGCTGGAATTGAACTTGATTTCAATAAACAAGACATAATGAAAAATATCTCAAACAGTGGAAGTTTCAGACCAGCTGTCTTTGTGTCTAATAATCACTTTGAGGATCTCGTCTACAAGCAAATTGAACATCTTCGTGAGCCATCAATTAAATGTGTTGATCAGATTAATAAGGAAATGGAAAATGTCATTCATAAATTGATCACAGAACAGCAGAAACTAACTCGCTTTCCAGTCATGCAAAAGAAAATTCGGACAATTTTAAAGAACTTTCTTAACAAACGAGTTCCAATTGCGAAGGAAATGGTCAATGAATTAATTAACACTGAATTGTCATCGATTAATACAAATCATCCAAATTTTTCCATTGAGGATGCTTTGAAGGAAACATCCAGCAACAACTACCAGCAACCACCATACAAGATCAGAAAAACTGAAAAAGACGCAAAAACAATTCAAAATTTAGTCGAGAACTATTTTCCAATTGTGCGTACAACAATTCAGGATCAAGTTCCAAAGATTATCTGCCATAAGATCATCAAGTTTATGATGAAAAACATTCAAAGTGAGTTGCTAAAGCAGTTGCGTAACGAAACGGACGCTGATTTGTTGGAGGAATCTGAAGAAAATGCTCTAAAACGTGAAAAGTACAAGAAAGACGTTAAGGCATATCAAGAAGCTGAAAAGGAGATTGAGGATTTTGAATTGGGTTATTAACTGTCTAAATGACAATTTTCTAGTATTAATTCTTAGTCTGATGACTTTTTAATATTATTAAGTACATGTCACTAACTTATAAGCTAATGAATGCTAATTATAAGAATTTCAATGAGATTGGATACGATTTATTTTGAAAGAAACTTGATATTTAAACATAAATAATAAAAAATTAAGAAACAAGAACAGCATAAGATTTATCAGTTTTGAGTTGCTTGGGTTTAATTTTTTTTATCAAAACAGCTTCATAATGAATAGCTCTTATTGATAAGATAAGCTAGAGTGGAGATGAATTTATTTTTTCAGAATCAATCGTTCAGTCGCATTTGATAATTCATTCAGACAAGAACAAGTGGAACAAGAAAAAAAATTTGAAATGATGAAGAACAGAAATTTCAAGGCCCTGAAAAAAGTGAAAAAAGCAACTTCAAAGGCATTAATTAAGTTCACTTATTACTTCTTTTATGGATTCTTTAATTATCCACAAGGTGCACGACGTGCTGATCCTAATTTAATCAAATAGATTGTTAATTTCGAGAGATTATTAAGACTTAATCAACATTGTCAAGACTAGATATGCATAACATTAGGATTAATTTGAAGTTAACTACGATATATGGATAGATATTAGTAAATTAAGGATGGTGAGTATAACCTTTTGAAATCAGAAATTTCAGAGCATAGAAAGATTCAAGCGTTTTTTTTTTTTTGGATTGACTTCAATCTCTAAACAACAAGTTGTAAACAACCTTTTTAACTGTTTTAAACATTGCAGCCAAATCTTGCTCCAAAATGCCTTGACTTAATCAGAGAGTAAAATTGTATCGCTTAAAGGTTTAGTAAAACAATGTTGCACATTTTAAGATGAATAAATTGAACTTTAAATTGACTTAATCTAATAAAGTGTCAACAAAATAGCCGAAAATGACTAAGATAAAAATTATGAAATGTTCTGAAACATCAGAAATTGAAATCGGAATTTAATGAAAAGAAGCACATTCATCCGACACAATTGCTGTCAAGTCATTAGTTCACATTCTTTAGATTTATGTACAAACTTGTCATTGTGAATGTTTCGTCATTAGAATTTTGTTTCATTTCATTCTTTTTGAAGCTGCATTCTTTAAAATTTGATTCTTTGTATGCTCATTTCAGATCTGAAACTTCGATTGTTCTTAAATTTAGAGTTTAACTTCATTTAAATTTACTCAAAAATCTCAATAAACATTTCGTTTCTTTTTAGATAACATTGAAGCTATCGGAAATGTCAACAACAAAAATGCACTTACTGTGAAATACAACACTTCCATACTTAATCATTAGTTGATAAAACTGTGTCAACAAGAAAAATATCATCAAAGTTTACGCAGACATGATGTCTACACACATATTTTGAGATTAAAAAGAGCAACTACTGCTTACCTAGAAGATAAGATAACAAAATTCTCAGTAATAATAAAATTAAGCCTTAATTGCTAATTAATAAACTTTTTATATTGCTTAATTATTGAATGATTAGAACTGATTCCGAGCAGCACAAACGGGTTAGGAAACTTTGTGCTGCTCGAAAATAAAATCTTTTATTTATCTCACAAAATATTGAACAAAAACTCCGAACAAAATTGCAGTCAATGACACAGCAGTCGTAGAGCTGTTCAAAAAAATATCAATTATTGGCGAATTCTTCTCGATCCATTTCAAGTTTTTCTCAATCAATGCAGTAAGTGAATCTTTCAAACTCTGAGTTATTCCATATCTAATCATCAATGATTTAAAATCAGAAAACATTTGATCTGTGACTATATGGTCGGCAATTTCTTGAAATATTGTATCTCGAGTTCCTAATGCATTGTGTTGAGTCATGCTACAGAATAAGAAAAATAACTTTAATATTTAGATCTGGTGACTGTTAAGAAAACTATTCGTTAATTAAGACTTCTTTAAAATCACATTTTACTTACAAAGTATAAAATGCTGCAGAATTTTTGACAAGGAATTCCATCGCGACCTTTAATCCAATAGGTCCATTTGAGTAAACAGATTGAATGACTGTAAACCATTCAGCGACATCTTGGTACCGATTTATAAAAAGTGTTAAAACTTCTTCATCTTGAATACATCCAATTGATTTTAGATACAAAGTTTGATGGGTATTTTCATAATTTTCCCAGAGGAAGCCATAAGCTATACCACCTCCATTTATGGCACCATTACACATTATTGTTGCTTTATAATCAGTTGATAATGTAACTTCTGAATTCATAATTCCTTTGTCAAATAACTCTGCTGATTGATTGAGACAAGCTGGTAAATGAGCTTGACATGCCCAATTGATGGCAATATTTCTTATGTGCTTCTCGTGATGTACCGAGTCATTCTGTTCCTTAACTCCGTATTTTTCAAACACTTTTGTGAATAAAGTTTGAAGGAATTTCTAGAATATCCAAAAATTTACCTTTAATGTCAATTAATAAATATTTTTGAGTTTATACTTGGAATTTGATGTACAATTGGCTACTTCCGTCATTCAGCATTCTTCTCATGTAAAGCAAATTATTTGTTGCTGACACCAATGGAATGTAATCAGTCTGCAAATAGAAGATTTACTAAAAAATTCAAAAATAAGCCATACAAATCATACTTCATGCTGTAAATAGTTGATTATCTCCAAAAAGATCTTTATATCCAAAATCTCCATTTCCATAAATGTACCAGCATCATCTATTAACATAGCACGAGTATTTGTTGAAATGTCCTTAAAACTCCCTTGATTCAATTCTTTCGCAATTGCAAGCCAGTTAATGACATCGTACATGACTCGATAATATCCAGTTTGATCGACATTCACTATGAGATAATCACTTGGATGTAAATCTTCAATAACTTCTACCGAGTTTTGCTCACGCAGCCACATTTGTGGAAGCGTATTTAAATTTGGATTTGACTTTGTTGAATAAGATATTGGGATGCTCCACAGCCTACAATAATCAAAATATAAAGGAACAAGATTTATAGTGTAGCTATCACTTACTTATTGGATGCTGTTCCATTCTTAATGTCATCCGTAAATCGTTTTTGAGATATCATGATATTATTTCCATTGTAGTTTTTAGTGACATCTAATATTGGATATCCAGCTTGAAACTCCCAAGTTTCGAAATCATTGGCAACTTGAACTGAAGGGTCATTGACTGCTAACTGAAGTGCCTCATAAAAATGTTTTGGTTCTGCAATTCCTTCTGGATTTGATGTGCTCTTGTTGATATAAATTTGAAGACCATGTCTGAATGTTTTTTCTGATAAGGCATGATAGAACATCCTCATGACACTTGCAGCTGTAAATTATAAATACTCTTAGGAACTGTTAATAATATCAGAATTGTTTGTACCTTTGCTGTATGAGATGGAATCAAACATGCTTCTAATTTCACTTGGTGACGCTTCATCCCATGTCAAGAGACGTGCTGAAGATGAGGAATCATGATTCATTTCAGGTTGCATTACTTCAATAGCAAAAATGTTTTTCAATTTCATATCAGGAGAAATGGAATCTGCCATCTGGTACTCATAAAATCTGAAAATATAGGAGATGTAAAAGATACAAGGAGATTCAAGCTTTCGCCTAAAAAATGGGATATAAAAGCATTTTCATTTACTTGCAAAGTCCGTTATTAACCCAAAGAGATGACCACCAACTTTGTGTTAAAGTACTTCCAATAAATGTCTGGCAAATCTAAAAAAATAAGATAATTTGTTAATATTGAGACAAGCAATTCCTTTTGCAGTTCTACTTTATTGAAAATATTCCTTGAAACTGATTCACTTTTATAGACAGGGTCGGTTTGTTCATCATAAAGGAATAAATCTTCTTGTTGAAATGTAATTCCTTGATACTCGGTACCATTAGTAGCTAATTGTGGCAGTACAACTAGATCTAATTTCTCAGACTTATAAGAAGCATTAAAGTAGTTTTTAATTGAATTAATAGCACCAACTCCAGTAAGAAGTCCATAATTTGTTTTGTCCAACTGTGCTGGTTGTGCAAATACTCGAAATTTCAATCCACTTTGAAAATCATGAAACTCACTAGATTTAAAATCAGAAATAATAAATCCGAGCATGTATGCTGGTATTAATGCAGTTCTTTTGAAATTCCTAATAAAAATCCCTAATGGTCCCGTCCTTAAAGATATAAAATAAATTATTTGCACGGAGTTCGAAAATTTTATAATCCTTACAAGTCATTGTCTTCATACTGCATTTGAAAGAAATTAAAAATTAAATTATATTCAATTACTTAAAGTTATATAAAGTTTTACCGAATCCGTGTTTGAAATTGCATGATATCCAGCTTTATGTGTTATAGTCAAATTGAAGACAGATTTGAATCTTGGTTCATCATAACAAGGAAAGACTTTGCGAGCAGAGATTGGCTGCATATGGGTTGCTACAAAATAACTGAAAATACATTGGAATTTTTAATGATATAAAGCATATGTTGACAATTATTTAAGTCAGTGATGTGCTGAGAAAAAAATTCGAGAAATCCCACGAACCGTATGCCGTGTAGACAGAATGATAAAGATACGAGAGCCGTAAATTCACCATGGAGGGCTTTTACTGGAACGGACCTGGAGGCATTGTGACCTACGGAAAATTGGAACGAGAGCCGAAATGAACACTAGTTCTAAGACCTAAAGAGTTACTAATTGGCTGCTGGGCACACAACTGTTTAGTGAAGATTATGCCCTACACACTGAGCTTGCTTACATAATATCGATTTAAGAATTATTAATGCTAAGAATGAAATAGTTGCGCTTAAAGGTTTAGTAACACTGTTGCACTTGATGTAAATGTAGAGTCGACGTTGAGCTCTGCTTAGAATTGAAACCGGATTCAACGAATTTTTCCGCAGCATGCAAGTATGCCGCGACACATGGGTTTGCCATCACTGCGCTAAACCCTTCTTGTATTCAGAAATAATAAATTTTATTGTGACATAAAAAACTCGCGCTATAAGCTTTACAATTGCTCATAATCAATTCGTAGAAGATTCGCAAAAATATTATTGCGCCACTTAACACAATCAAATGTGGTAAAATGATAAATGAACTTACTGCTTTTTTAATTCGCCATCTAAATAAAATCCCCGATAAAGTCCTTCAGTTGTTGGAAAATCATTTATAATACCCGTGAATTGTATTAGAATTGTGACAGTTGTGTTGATTTCAAAGTCTTTATAATCTGGTTCGTGGATTATAAGGAACTCTTTTTCATTGTCAAGAGTAAAATTTAAGAAAGTCCTCACTCCAGCTACACTTTTTCTAATTCTAGTAATATTTTTTACAGAACTATGCAAAGTTATTGTCTTTGTAGTTTCAAGAATCGCAATATCAATTGTGACAGTTCCGGTGAAAGTCAAATCAGTCAAACTATCGTCATCAAAATTAAATTCTCCTAAAATCACTAAATAACTTTCTGGATATGTCTGATTTTTAAGCAGATAACTTTTTGGTTCCTCTTGAATTTCACCACATTCCAAATCAATAAGGCAAACTGATAAGATAATTAATAATATTTTAAGCATTTTCACCGACTTAACTTTCTGCAAATTATCAACGAATACTGACTCGTTAATGCCAATTGCTGCTTATTTTATTTTAATTTCATATCAATTAACTCAAAGTAGAGGCTCGTTACTTATCTTATAAATTTTTTTTATAGTCAATCTAATTGCTTCGGCGCTATATTTAAGTTGATAATAAAAATACGAAAAATTTCGCGAATGTCCTTGATAATATTGAGTATAAGTTGCATTGTATTTGTGCTACGTAATTTATTAGTCATTAAGGCGAAGTATTTGTCAAATTATTCGAGATTTTGTGGATTTTTTTTTGAGTACTTACTGAAAATATTTTTTAACAATTATTCAATTAAAGAATTCAGGTTTAACAGGCTTAAATTAATATTTATTGACTTTCTTATCGTACAAAATATTGAACAAAACATCCAAAGACAATTGCTATCAATGACACAGCAATCACCTTAGAGCTGTTCAAAAAATTATCAATAATCGGTGAATTTTTCTTAATCCACTCCAAATTTTCTTCTATCAATGCATTTAATGATTCTATTGTGCTTTTTGTCAACTCATACTTAGTCATCAGTTTGCTAAAATCTTCAAACATTTCATCTGTTATTACTCGGTTGGCAATTCCTCGAAATATTGAATCTCGTGTGCTAAATGCAATGCGATCGTTGATGCTATAATGAGAAGAAGAAGAATTTTTGAACTTATTCAGCATTTATAAACAGAACAAAGGAATTTATTGTTACTATAAACAGCACAACGCTACCAAAAACATGTCTCATTTTACTTACAATATCTTAAAGTTCTGATATTCATCATTCAAGAATTCCATCGTGATCTTCAATCCAATTGGACCATTTGAATAAACAGATTGTATTACTGTAAACCATTCATCATCACTGACTCTGCTATATCTTCTAATGTATTCGTGTAAAATTTCACGATTTTCAATGCATCCAATGGTTTTCAGCAGTAAAGACTTTTCTGAAGCTTGAATAGCTTTTATATATGATTCCCAAAGAAAACCATAAATTAAAACACCTCCAGTTATGGCACCATTACACATTATTGTTGCTCTATGATCAGTTGATATTGTAACTTCTGAATTCATAATTCCTTTGTCAAATAACTCTGCTGTTTGATTGAGACAAGCTGGTAAATGAGCTTGACATGCCCAATTGATGGCAATATTTCTTATGTGCTTCTGGTGATGCTCGTTTTCATTCTGTTCCTTAACTCCGTATTTCTCAAACACTTTTGTGAATAAAGTTTGAAGGAATTTCTAGAATATCGAGAATATCCAAAAATTTACCTTTAATGTCTAATAATAAAGATTTTCTAACCAATACCTGGAAGTCGTTATACAATTTGCTACTTCCGTCGTTCAGCATTCTTCTCATGTAAGACAAGCTATTTGTAGCAGACATCCATGGGATGTAATCAGTCTGGAGAAAAATTTTAATTGGTTTTCACGCTTTGGAGCCTTAAAGTATGAGATTATTGCAACCTACCTCAAGCTTTAAATACTTTATTATGTCCAAAAATATTCTAATGTCTAAAATCTCTTTCTCCACAAAAGCAGCAGCATCATCAATCAGCATAGCGCGCGTATTTGGTGGAATATGATTGAAATTTCCTTCTTCTAGTTCTTTAGCTATTAATACCCAATTAGGTTCATCATACATCACTCGGTAGTATCCTTTTTGCTCAACATTTGCAATGATGTAATCATTTGATCCTAATCCTCTAATATTTAATTCCATTTGTCTGCTATGCAGCCAAAATTGTGGAGGAGTAAGTGTGTTTGGATTTGACTTTGTTGAATATGTTATTGGGATACTCCATAGCCTTAAATAATCAAAACATATATTAACAAGTTTTTAAGGCTTTAACATCTCTTACTCATTGTATTCTGTTCCATTCTTAATATCATCCGTAAATCGTTTTTGAGATATCATGATATTATTTCCATTGTAGTTCCTAGTGACATACAATATTGGATAACCAGATTGAAACTCCCAAGTTTCGAATAAATTGGCAACATGAACTGAAGAGTCATTAATTGCTATTTGAAGTGCTTTATAAAAATGTTTTGGTTCTGCGATTCCTTCTGGATTTGATGTGCTCTTGTTGATATAAATTTGAAGGCCATGTCTGAAGGTTTCTCCTGATAAGGCATAATGGAACATCCTAATGACACTTGCAGCTACAAATTGTATGAATAATCAGCAACTTTTAAAAAGATAAGATTTGTTTGTACCTTTGCTGTATGAGATGGAATCAAACATGCTTCTAATTTCACTTGGTGTCTCAACATACAATGTCAATGGTCGGATCAAAGGTGATGAATCTCGTTTCATTACGGGATGCATTGCCTCAACAGCAAACAGACTATTTAATCTCATTTGTGGATAGAGAAAGTGAGTCATTTCGTATTCATAAAATCTAGAACAACAGATAATGATTTAGAATTCATAGAACTTGGCATTAAATGACCTATCCCAAAAAGATAACAACACTCAGTTTATTTTGGGAAGCCTTAAAAAAATTCAATGTTTCATTTTCAAACATATTTCTTTTTTATAAAGTTTGGGAATCGCTGGAAAAAAAATTAATCATTCATAAGAATACCTGCAAAATCCTTCAGCAAGCCACAAAACAGACCACCAATGATAAGTTACTGAATTTCCTATGAATTTGTGGCAAACCTGAAAGAACAAATTCAAATAAGATTCGATCTTAAATTCATAATTAGCCATACCTCATGAACAACAGTTGCTGCTACAAATTCTTTATCAAAAATAGTCGTCACATCCTTTTCATAAAGGAGTGCATCTTCACGATAAAAAATAATTCCATAGTTTTCCATTCCACCGTAATTGAATTGTGGCAATGCGACTTGATCAAGCTTCTTTAGATCATATTTAGCATCAAAGTAAGTTTCAAACATTCCTAGAACAAGTCTTGCAGTTTCTTCTCCGAAAACTGTATTATTTACTTGATTTGGACGTGAAAATACTCGATGCTTAATTCCATTAAATTCCTTTTCACGTTCATAAGACGAAAAATCAGAAATAACGAATCCAAGCAAGTATGTTGGCATTAAAGGAGTTGGTTCGAAATCTTTCAATAACAAATTTGTTGGTAGACTTGAAAATTAAAATTATTGATAGATAAAGTTCGCTTGAAAAGTAAATATCTACTTACAGTTCTTGTTCACCGAAAATCTATTCAAGAAAATATTGGAAAAAAAATTATTAAATTGTCATCTTTTAAGTAAATGATCTATTACCGAATCTGTATTGAAAATTGCATGATATCCACTTAAATATATAATTGTTAAATTAAAGACTGATTTAAACTTTGGCTCGTCATAACATGGAAATACTTTTCGTGCATAAGTAGGCTGCATGTGTGTTGCTAGATAGTATCTGAAATTAATAATAAGGATGTTTAAAAACTAAGAAGTAAACAAGTTTGAATAAACAGCTTTATGATTTTTAGTTGAGCAGGTAATGTCCAATCAATTATTAATCATCACTTTAAAAATAAAATTTGAGTAATCTTGGGAAACAATTTTCAAGTACACAGCAATTAATAATTCTATTGATTAGGAGCTACCCACATATGACGTCCTAGGAGAGGGGGGGGGGAAGGGGGGGGGGGGGTGTAGCAAGCAAAGAACAATAGAAATTTCTAGAAATCAATTGTTCTTCTTTGAAAAATGACCGTTATTTTTGGACATCATAAATGAACGACCCCTTAACAGCTACTTAAAGATTTTTTTATCAAATTGAATCATGAAGTTTTTTGATAAGCTTGAAATGCAACTTAATGAATTTAAATGCTATTTTTTAATAACAATCTTAATATGTAGTAGGGGCGCAATTAGCAAAGAAGGCAAAGTTGACTAATGTTGTAGTAATTTCAAGGCGTAGAAACTATCCCAAATATCCAAAAATATTCAAAATAATCACTGAGCCTATATGCATTAGAATTGAGATATCCCATCATATCCTGAAATTACACGTCCAATATACTAAGGATACGTTGGGATATCTTTATTATCATGCATACATGCTCAGGAATTTTTCGAATATTTTTGGGATATGTGGGATAAATATGATATTTGGGATAGTTTCCACGCCTTGGTTAATTTAATCATTTAAACTCAAACTTCGTTTTTGCCAGAAACTTTTTCACAGCTTTTCAATTTTTTTCAATAAATTCAAAACCTACTTTCTAACAGCATTTTCATCCAAGTAGCTTCCTCGATAGACACCTCGATGTTTTGGCGACTCCACAATATCACTCGTAAATTGTATTTCAATTTGAACTTTTGTATTATTTTTGAAATTTTCACCATCTACTCTCTTAATTATTAAGAATTCTCGGGCACTATCCGATTCGTAATCAATTAGTAAATTTAAAAATTTTTCTGTAACCATATTAATATTTCTAACAGAACTGTGTAGAGTTATAGAATCTACATCCTCAAGAATTATTATGTTAATTACAGCAGCTCCTGAAAATATTGTTATATTTTGATCGAGGTTTCTATTGAAGACTAATCGAATGTCATAGCTTTCAGGATAAGTCTGATTCGGTAGCCGATAAGTTTCTGATTCCGCATTATTGATTTGAACTGCTAGTACAATATAAAGAAATGCTGATAAGATTATTAATAAATTTTTATGCATTTTCTCCTCGATTTAACTTGAACAAAATATCCACAAATACTGACTAGTCCTATCCAATTACAGGTATTTTTATTTATTTTTATCAATTAACTGTAATATTCTTAATCTTATCAGGCGATACAGTAGTAAATTTTACAACCAAAGTACTCAAAATGTATTTGGTACTTGATTATTGACTGAATCTAAAAATCAAGTTCAAAATCCTTGTTTTGAATTGAATCTTGAATTGATTAGATTTAGATTGGCTTAATTGTCTTTTTATTGCAATTCTTAATTGGCCATAAAGTAAATAAAGATTAGAAAAGATATTTTAAAATATAAAATCTGGGAAAGTCATAAATTTATGATAAGTGATAAAATTGGGTACAGAAGGTTAGCAATGGGTACCATTATGAGTAAGCGGGAAGTAGTAAAACTTCTTAAATATTAAAACAGTCATTCTTGTTTTTTGTAAGTTTCATAAACTGCATGACGAGCAATTTCACATCTCCTTCCGTTAAAATAAATATTTTCTTTTAAAAAATATCCCCTTAACTCTCCAAAACTTCTTTCATGTCTTTCGGAGAATCTCTCAAGTCACCCAAAAAATTTATTATTTATTTCGGAATGTTATGATTTTGAATATTTAATTTTTCAACGAGAAAAGCAATAAAATCCATCTGAAAATGTCACCAGTACCACAAAGTGAAATGTTGGATGAGCTGGCAGTGGATGTTATGGACCTGCAGTCACAAATGGCAGATGAATCGAACAAATCTAAGCACAAGCAAATGATTAAGAAAATGATTGACAAGAATTTCACCAGTAAGAAGTACCAACCAATTCCTGAGTTTGAGAAAGGTAAGATGATAAAGATTAGATGATTTCTGTAGCTGTATCTAAATCAATTTACAGGTCTTGATTGGTTCAACGTCACACAACCGTTAACCTGGAAGGAACATCTTACCGGCTCGATTGTTGTGGTTGATTTTTGGACTTACTGTTGCATCAACTGTCTCCATATCCTACCACAACTCCATAAAATTGAGAAAAAGTTTAAACCATCTGATGGACTGTTGATCCTCGGTTGTCACAGTGCCAAGTTCACGAACGAAAAGTCAAGTGAGAATGTCAAAGCAGCAATACTCAGACATGATATTTCACATCCAGTTGTCAATGATTTAAACAATGAAACGTGGAACAAACTTAACATTCAATGCTGGCCAACATTATTATTCTTGTCACCAAGTGGATGTCCATTTTATTTAGTCATGGGTGAAGGAAGAATTGAAGAAATTGAGATGGTCCTGAATATTGCACTTGATTATTATCGAGATGCTCAAGTTCTTGCACCAAGGAATATCCCATTGAAGCCAGCAGCACTTCCATCAAATCCATTTGAATTGAAATTTCCTTCAAAAATTCAATGCTCAAATTATGACAGCTCAGACACTTCTGAGCCACTTTATGCTTTTTCTGATTCTGGTAATCATCGTATAATAATCTTTAATACTAATGGAAATGTTGTTCATCAGATCGGTCAATGTGGTGTAGCTGGAAGTGACGATGGCAATTTTACAGAAGCAAAATTCAATTGTCCGCAAGGTGTTGCATGGCTTGACAAAAAGACATTGTTTGTAGCTGATACAGAAAATCATTTAATTCGTATGATAATCTTAGAACAAAGAAAGGTTCAAACAATCATTGGAAATAAAAATCAAGGAACAGATTTTAATGGTGGACAACTTCCATTACAGCAAGCAATTTCAAGTCCATGGGATCTCGTTGTCTACAAAACAAAGAACTTGGATATGTCTTTCCATGAAGATGATACACAAGTTCCACAAAAAGTCGTTGTTATCATCGCAATGGCTGGATTGCATCAGATATGGGGATACTATATGGAGCAGACAATTTGGTGGAGATATCAAGTCCAGAATGCAAATACAGCTGTAGCCATTGCTGGTAATGGAGAAGAACGGAACAGGAACAATGACTATCCAAAGCATGCATCCTTTGCTCAACCTTCAGGCTTATGCTTGCTTCGTAATTCGCACGAACTGTTCATAGCTGATAGCGAGTCTTCGTCAATCAGAAAAATGTCTTTGGAATCAGGCAAAGTTTCTGCAGTTGTTGGTGCTTCAAATAATCCAATGAACTTATTTGCTTATGGGGATGTTGATGGCCAGAAATATACAGCAAGATTGCAACATCCACTTGGTTTAGCTCATCATCCATCCGAACATTCAGTCTTTGTTGCTGATACTTTTAATAACAAGATCAAAAAAGTCAATGTTCAAGTTGATAGCATTCAAACAATGAGAATCGTTGATGACGAGACAAATGAGGTGTTCAAGTTCAATGAGCCAGCAGATTTGTGTATGACACCAGATGGAACAAACTTGTTGGTCCTCAATACAAATAGTCATGAAATCATTAAAGTTAATTTATCAACACTACGCTCAACTCAGTTTCATCTTAAATGGCCAGCACAAAAAATTCATAATGCACAAGGCTTACCACCATCTATCCCTATTGTTGTCGTCCCTAATGGACGAGTTTTTAAGAAAGGATCTAACACATTTAATCTATCTATTGCTCTTAATCTTCATGAAGGTGTAAAACTGACTCCAGATGCACCACAAAAGATCCAACCATTTTTATTTCGTGGGTGGAGATTGGATAGTTTTGAAAGTCAGAAGCTTCTGTTCGAAGGTCGATCAAATGTAGCTGTCAAGATTCCACCAGGAACAACAGATGGCGATGTCACTTTACATTTTATTCTATTACTTTGTGATGAAAAAGACTCTTCATGCTTTAGGAAGGAATTTGGAGTAAAAATTGCTTTAAAGTTTGTCTCATCTTCGGATCCAATTAGTCCAGAACCTGTCTTTATTGGTGTCACAAAAAGTGAAATTCTCATTCGTTAAAAAACTTTCTTCTGCATTAATACTGTTTTTTATCACCAATTAATAAAATTTTATGAACTTTAAATTAACGGTTTTTAAAAATTTGAAAGTTTCTCAACCAAAATGTTTGTAGACTTAGCTGTGGGTAGGGATTTCAATACGGACCAAAATTTCAATCCCGGGATTATGGTATTGGAAATTGTTGATCCCGAGATCCCGAGTTTAGATTTGGTTCAGAAGCTGGTATAAGATTGCGTTTAACACGTTCAAAATAAGAGCTTTCAATTACAAATTAAGTGTGTTTAACATTAAAAAATTTTTAAGTTGAAAACTAAGCCAGAAAGTTAAAGTTTTTCCAAATAAATCAATATTTCCTTTTCTTGTTCTGTCTGAACTTTTTAACATTAGAATAATGAAAGCTTTTGTTAATTTTTATAAAGATTATATTTTAACTTTTCATATCAAAAAGGATTTAAAACTTTCAATAAAAATTTGATTTTTTTTTTGTCGAGCTATTATGACTTTTCTTTTGTAAAAACTTTAAAAACTTTTGTTTTATAAAAAATCAATTACTTTAATTTTTAATTCAAATAATAGATTTTATCGCATCTTTATTAGAGACATATTCGAATGATCATAAAATCTATTCAAAATTCAAAATTTTTATTTGGCAAAAACATGCTGATTATAATTATTTTACATTTTAATATTAACAAGATTTGTGAGAAACTCTAAGGATATCTTGATCCCGTAATCTCGAGATTGAAGCTTTTCTAATTCCGGGATTGCGGTATTGAAATCCCTAGCTGTGGGAAATTACATAGTGTTTTTTTACAACATAAGAATAGCAAATTCAATTGTATTCAATTTTCTAATCAAAAATCAGTAAAGGAATGTGATTAATCGCATAATCAACAATGTTTTATCGAACAAATCTAGGAAATTGTTGTTATCTTAGTTTATTGAACGTGAACCTTAAAAATTAGAGATTTTTCTTTGTTTTTGTAACATAAGAAGTGAATTTTTTTGTACGATTTTATTTAAATTACATTAGGAATTATGTGGAAATGTCACAAATGCCAAAAACCTGTATATTTTGGTAAGTTCATTGATATTTTCAAACATTTATGTCAAAAAGCAGCTTATTTTCCTCATCTGGATCTTCATCAAATATTTCCATTTCCAGCTGAACGTCAACAAAGTCTCGGCTTTGATTGGCACCCTGAATGTCTTCGTTGTCATGAATGCGGCAAACGCTTGCAACCTGGTCAACATGCTGATCATAAAGGCGATCCCTATTGTCATGTTCCTTGTTATGGAGCACTCTTTGGTCCACAACTTTTTGGACACGGAACTCGTGTAGAATCACATAAAAGTTTTGGTCAACCAAAAACAGTTGCAGCACCAAAAGTCACCAATGGTCCTGTCATACCACGTGCACATATAGATGCAAAGTTAAAAACTTACAATAATTTTTTTGACAGCAATAGTCTTGAAGTGAGATCACGTGAACTTCATGGAAAGCTAGTTCTAGAAGGTGTTCTACGGATTTATTGGGGTATTCAAGGAGTTATTCATTTGAAAGAGGAAGATGATCAAAGAACTGTCGTTACTATCCGAAAACGCAATTCTGTTCGTTATCCCAACTCTGTTGATATTGTAAGTGACCAAAAATACATCCGGAAGTAACTCAAGAATTAAACTTTAATCTCATCCTGAATTTAGATTCGTGAAAGTATTGTTGCAACTGATCAGGCAGTAGCCGCAAGTGACAACGATACAACCATATCAGAATCATTGTCATATGACAGTATCAGCATCTCATCTGATGTTAACTCATTAAGTTCAAGTGGAAGTGGAAGTTCTTCATCAAAAGAGACATCTCCAATACATGCAAGCAATAGCAATACTTTGCCATCAAAATTAGACATCAAGAAAATTGGATGGGACGATATTGATGAGTTATTGCAAGTAGAACGCAGGGACGATCAAATTAGATACTCAACGATGCCATCACCGATGACGTCCAGCATGACAGATAGCCAAATTTCGAATATTAGTCTTGATGATACATCTAGTTATAAAACTTTATCTCCCGATGGAGAGACTACATCTCCATCATCAAGTGTTTATTTCTCTCAACTAGACTCATCAACTGACAATAAAGTTTCAAGTGCAGATGATGAGGATACGCCTACTTTAAAGCCATGCGATTTTGAAGATTTTAAGCGACAAGCAAATCAGGAATTTGTTAATGGTGCCAATGAAATGCCATCTATTCAAGATGGAACATTAAAAATTAATCAACCAATTGATCCGTCACGAATCAATGACTCATTGAAGCTTTATCAAGATAATATTATGAACAGAAGTGTTCAAAGTGAAGATGGAATGAATGTTTATTCATTATCAAATAGTTTCTATATTCCCGGACAAATTAAATCATTTAATATTCAAGATACATTGAATCTATTGAAGAACTCTTCTTCATCGTCATCATCAGATGACAAAACACTCAAGCTAGAGGCCAATAAGATTCTGAAAAAATCAAGTTCGATGAATACTTCAACATCATCAGTTGAAGACAGCAGTTGGTCGACTGATAAAGGAATTTCAAGGTCAAAAAGTGGACCAAATTATGCAGTCGCTAATTTTGAAAGTGACACAGTCAAGCCATCTGGAAGACCAGTTATTAAAATCAAAATGGATTGTTATGATGAATTGAATGGTTCCTCACCGCCAACGACACCCCACGATGATGATGGAACTGAGTCTGTAGTGTTGAGAAAAAAGACGAAGGGCTCAACAGCCATTAAACGACGTTCCGGCAATCGAAGGTGAGATTTGGGTCAATACTCAGCTCATCGATTAACAACAATAATCATGTCAATGACTATAAAATAAAATCCAATTAAATTCTTTTCAATAGATCCCGAACAAAAATAAAACGCCGCTGTTCTATTAACGGTCATTTTTATAATCGTGAAACATCCATTTTCACACCACCAACTGGCTCACAAATGAGCGTTTATGCAACATCATTGCTCAATAGTCAAGAGATCATCAATTTGGTAATGGACAAATACAAAATAGAATCAAAGGCTGAAAATTTTGCGCTTTTTATTATTCGCGATAATGGCGAACAAAAGAAATTGACGAATGAAGATTTTCCGTTAATGACTCGTGTATTGATGGGACCGCACGAAGATGTATCCAAGCTGTTTCTAATGGATGCCGGCGAAACGCAAGAAATTAGGTGATTATTTATTATTTCTGACTGGTTAGGTTTATGTCGAGGATATGGCGCATTTTTGTGTTGTGTAATAGGGGGGGGGGGGGGGGGGGGGAATTTAAGAAGGTAGGATCTTAAGAGGACCTAACTCATCAGTAGATTCATATGAGAAGAATTTCTGATTATTTCAAATAATATCAACCACCTGTTGCATTCTAAAGTTTTGTACATTCCACAAAGCATATTCATCAGCACCGCTTGTAGTTTTTGAAATTCACGTGATTATCAAGCAGAGTTTGGTGCTCACCAAGTCACTTGAAGTTCAAACCGCCTCAAAACATCAAATAAATAATTTTAAACAGAATTGCCTAAAATTACAGCTATTTATAACCATTTATATCTTCTATTATTCTCTCATAACAGTCCCGAAGTCGCACAATTTGTCAATCTATCCATTCCCGAATGTCGATCAATAATTGAAAGATATTACGATGAAGAAGAACGCGAAATGTTTAGAATTCGTGAAAAGTGAGTTGTCAATTATCTATTGTTGCTGCATGCTCAATAAAACTGTTTTTCATTCTATTCATCCACAGATATGCTGAGCTCCGTAAACGAATCGTTCATCGAATGGAGACATTAAAAGTCCGATTGTAAACTGTGAACGAATTTTATCAAGTCACAAAAGTGCTTCATGCTTTTAAACGAACAAATCCAAAAATTGAACACACAAAATGAATTTTTACACAACATTATATTATTATTTTTTAAAAAATTATGGAAGGAAACTGCATCAAGTCCACAATTTAGGATTATTTTTAATTTTTAAAGGAATGTATTCTTTATATTTTTTTTCTGTCTCAATTACTAACCATATGATGAAGATTATAAGATGATTATTTAATCACATATATACAAGAATGTCTGATGTGCATACTAATGTATTTTTTTTCGGTTGAGTGATTTATGATGGAAATTTTTTGTGTCCATCTTTTAGTGTTTAGCATTTTGTTTTCTTTCCTGAGTGACACATCATCAGCCATACAACAATATTGTTGCCATTACAGCAAAAGCATGGAGCTGATCAAATCATTTTAATCAGTTCCACACCTTTGCATAAGACTGCTTTTGCCATAATGTGTTACTCGGGTCTGAATTAAAGTAATTAAATTTTAATGTTTGAGAATCATTTTGTATCAGTGTCTCGTGATCTAAAACAGCTAAAGTTTCCAATACTCACAGTATTTTACTCATAACCTAGACCAGACCATGTCTAGATTCACTTAAGGCAATGTCTATTAATTCGATAAAAAAGAGATCACTAGATGAACATTTGGCAGTTCCATGCCCTTGGTCTACAAAGCTCGAGTAAACAAATTTAAAGAATTGCCCATTTAAATATCATTCCTTTTCTTGCATATTATGTAGCATCAAGTTGTCCTTACTCAAAGCAACGAAAACAAGATTAAAGAACCTTTATAGCATTTCCTTAACAATCTAAAATTTAAGTTATCTATCTTATGTCCAGTAAACTTTAATTCAACATTAAAAATGGATCCACAAAACTTTCATTGTAAATTCCTCACAAACATACAATTTAAAAGAAGAAATAAAGCTTAAATCAATCACAACTTTTTTATCCATGAACCGATTAAAAATGAATCTTTTTTCCTTAGAAATTTCAAGTCAGAATAGCAGAATGAAAAGAAATAAGAAAATCGCATTAGTCTGCACATCTCGACTTTATTTTTTTTTTTGTTATTAATCCTTTAGCATTTAAAGTGCCCAGAGGAATTGAAAAAGAACAGAATTGATAATTCTTTTTTTTTGGGATGGTATAAAAAAATATTTAATTAATCTTTGGAATGAAGAGGTGATGGAAATTCGATAATTTTCAATCTAACAAATAAATTTATATAATCGTGATGAAAGAGGCACAATGGAAGCCTCTGGGTTTAAATAATGCTCATAACTTATCAATTCTTACACACGATGAACACTGTTAATTCTAATTAATTTAGTCGCACACCGCAGAATCGCACAAAACTTTCTTCTTAATTTAAACACATTTTTTTTGCGATAAAGAATAATAAGTCAATCAGCATAGGCAGGCACAATAATAGCATCAACCGAAACAAAAGCACAGTTTCTTTAAATCTAACCGTTTTTCTTTCTATTCTTGATGTTAGCATCCCGGGAGATGTGAACAATGAGCGAAAAATTACCAAAAAATAGACTTTTTGGATTGGAATTTGAGATGCGCATCAAATGACAGACCTTTGTGGGGATTTTTTGTCAAATTCTTAGGAATATTGAAGGTTAATCAATACCTGAGGATAAGTTTGGTGTCAGAAAGATGTTTAAATTCCAATAATAGACTAGATCAAGACCAAGATTCTCGGAATTGCTCGAACTTGATCATCAACTCTCAATCTACTTCAACCTTCAATATAAGACGCAAAAGTCAGTCTATAACAAGAATCCATCAATTTCTGACAAAATTTTCATAAGGAACAGATACTTTTTGACGATAAAAGTCTCACCTTGACGGTGTGCCAGACATTTTCCGTTATATCTCTCATGATCTCCAAGAGGAAAAGAACGTTCTTTATTCTTTCCATTAACTTTTTCGTTGAATGATCTGTGGTGAATGCCAAGATATACGAAAAAAAAAATTATTATTACACGTAATTTCACATTTCGAACAAAAATGATTTTTTTTGTATTATTCTTTTATTATTATGTAACATAAGAAGAAGATTCTTGCACTGTCATCAATGAAATTGTAATTTTCTTCTCTCATCATTTTCATTCTTTTTGATGGTTCTTTTATTATGAAATTATGATGTAAATATAATAAGAATATACACAAGATATGTGAAACACAATTTTTGATTTTATTTTTTTCAATTCCGACAAAAAAAATCTTTCTTTTAATCAAATTATGATGCAACTTACTTTTATGAACAATTGGTTTGATTTTATATCTTTGGGTTGCTTCTGAAGTTTGGCTGTTCATGAACTTGCAAGCTTTTAATAATGAAGATTTTTAGAAAATGAAGTTTGATTCCTTGAAAAGCTTGAACAATCAATCATTTTATATTGTTCTCAATCATTCTTAAAAGAGTAGTGTCAAGGATCCAACCCTTCTTCTTATCTAGATCACTTTTGTTTGATTTCAATATATTCTTAACAGTTCAAAACTCATTAATGAATTTAACCTTAAATTCTCTGTTGAATAATTATCCAAACCACAAGCATTATGAAGATGCACTCTAAACACTTCCCATTCCTCTAAAATTACAATAATTTCCTTACTTCTTCCTCATTTACCTTAATTTTTTGTTGCTCTTCTGATTTTTTTCGTCATACTTCTTCTTCTTCTTTATTTCAGTTTGCTGCATTTTAGCTTTTATTTTTTTTTTGCTCTTGATTTTACATTATACCTTCCATGGAACAAAAGATTCTAATTACAAAATCACAGAGTAATTTTCTTCTATCTAATTCACATTAGGCTTGATTTAGTTTGATGAAAATGAAACTTAATTAAAATGTGAAAAGAAATTTGAGAAATGTTGATAATTGATGTGAAATATTTTGGCTCCACTCGTGAGTTTTATAATTTTTAGAATTAAATGTAGCTTTGGATGTGAATCTTAACTTTATTTGACTAGTCATTAGTGCATGGGAGGTAGATGTAGTTCCTGAGACGAGGAAGTAAACTTAAAGGTTCTCTTTTTTAAAGACTAAGGTTTCAGTCTCAGCTTTATGGTCATTTTTTATGTTTAAAACCCCAAAAATCATGTCAAACACTAGAAATTGAGGATGAACTTACAAAACTCAAAAATGCTCTCGAAAATAAGACTTTTCAAAAAAAAAAACAAATTCCAAGCATGAAATCTAGCCTCAATTAAATTCTCAACATCTTTGTCCCGATTACAGCATGACCGTCGCTTATTATGCACTCTTCAATATCGACATAAAAGAATTCATTCATTCAATTTGTCCACGACTTTCAATCTATTCTTTGTCCCTCATTCTCAATACTCATTTAACATCTCGATTCATTTTATAATCATTCAGCAATTATTCATCGACTAGATGCTCCCTTGTTCTTCTCATTATTTCATTTTATTTTTTATTATTTTTAGTTTTTCAGAATAAAGAAAAGAAATCTCATCACGATGATATTGAATATTGAATTTCATGGGCTTATGTAGAAGGAATGAAAGAATAATGCTTTAAGCATATTCACAGTTGGTGTCCACAAAGACTCGCGTTGCGCTCTCTCATTCCACTGTACAGATATAAAATTTATTCATATTATTAAAAATGATGAAAAATAATCAAAAGGTGCCAAAGATTTTTATGATTACAACTTTTAGATTTTCACGTCATAAATCTTATTTGTTGGCTCTTGCAGTCGTTGAAATCTTTTGTTTTGTTTTTTTTTCCATCCACACTAGATTCTGTTGTGAATCATCAGGTTGTTGCTATTTTTGCTTTGTGACTTTATTTTAGCAAGATTTTTGTACAATGTTTTGATTGAATTTGGATTGTCTTTATGGCAAACTAGTTACTAGGTTCAATGTAGGGTTGTTAATCAGGCATTCACAAGATGTGCAAGAACTATCCAAATTCTCAAGATTTCTAAATTAATCAAAGATTTTTTTTAAATCTGACAATCTGTAGAGCCTAGAATCTAAAGTATAAAGTCTATTAATATGCGCCTGATCCTTTTGAACCTCATTTAGCAAACCTACTATATTTGCCAATTATCTCAAATTTAATTGAACACTAAGTTCTCCTCGTTTCCCATTTTATTCAAATTCTATGCTTGAAATGTGTAAATTAGACAAAAAGAGATAAAAACAAGTTAAAATTTGGATTGTGAAAACAAAAAAAGAAATAAGAAATGGATGTTGAATTTAAATTAGTACATTAATGTACGATGATTAGGCATTTACAATGTTTTTACTAAATTTAATGAATTGGATAGAAACTTTTGAATGTTTTACGATTTTTTACATAAAATTCATGATAATTCACAATTTTTTTATGTCAAGAAAGTTTTTAAAAAGGTGAATAATCGTGTTTTGTGATTCTTTATAGACATATGCAATCATATTTCACCTGATTTTATTCGAAATTGACTCTAATATTTGAGAATTTTAACAAAATCAAAATTATTTGATCAATTTTGATCAAAATTATTTAAGTACAGAGATTGGCAAGAAACATATTCGAAGAAATTGTTAAATTTTTTTAGAGGTCATAAAATATGTTTTGTAATAAAAACCACAACTGCCACTACAAGATGAATGATGATCGCTGAAATAATAAATTATTGTAAAAAAAATATTCGAATTTAAATTATTGATGCTTGAAAATAATCAAAACAAAGCATATACTCAGATGTAAATATACATATTCAGGGATATTTGAAGATATAAAGTTCTTTGGTTTGGAATTTTAGAAACATAAAAGAATTGAATGCAATAATTATTATCTAGGCAGCATTAAATAGAATTAATCAAAACATTGTTGAATAAAACTTAATATTAATCTATAAAAACTGTGCATTTTTATTAATGAGAATCAACATTAGCTTTGTACTAGAAAGTGCGATTAGCTATTTGTAAGATTCGAACTCGCACCTTTTTACCAAATAAAAGAATTTCTAATCTTCAGTCTGTTATCTAACCACTCGACTGCAGGTGCTACAATCTCGTTCTGACAGAATCAAAGCTTGATATTCCAGATTTGATTCAGATTTGACTCCATATTGAGGGCAGATATGTGGT